GGGGGGGGGGGGGGGGCAAGCGCACATTTTTCGCCGGCGCTGACCGGGGCTCATGCCTCCGTCGGGTGAGAGGGGGCCTCCGCCCTCGGAGGCCCTCAGCCGAGAACAGCGACTGCGTGGGCCGCGCGAGACGAGCCCGAATGAGGCCGGGGCTCCCGACTCGTCGTACTCTGGCCCACCGGCTTGCTCGCGCGCTCGCTCCCCCATGTCATCCTCGCCCGGTGTGGCGTAGGCTCCACCGGCGCGGCTCTCCCCGGCCCCCGTGCACACGTCTACGTGCGGGTGTGCGCGCGCGCGCGCGCGCACGACCACCGCGCCGAGGAAGCCCACCGCCCTCAACCCGCACGCGGCAGTTGCACACTCTCACCCGCCTACCCCCCCTCTCGCCCGGCCCCCGGGGGGAGGGAGGGACGGGGGGGGGGGGGACCTCCTTGGGCCACCGGCCCCGGGCTGGCATTCGGCCGCTGTCTTCATGGCTTGGTTTAGGGGGTGCCAGGCTGTCCCGTCGTCCCCTTGGGCCCGGGGCGCTCCCGCCAGAGAGAGGGGCCCGGGCTGGTATGGGTGGAGCGCGGGGGGGGGGGGGAAAGCGCCGTCCCCTCGATATGCACACTCTCCTGGCCCGCGCTGGTCGACCGGCTCCTTTTGGTGCCCTCAACTGGCCAGGGCACGCGCGCGCGCGCGCGCGCGGGCAAACATTCGCAGGCGCCGCGCCGGGGGCATTAACAGACAGGTGCGTGCCAGCCGTCTAACACAGAATGAGGGTCTAGCGTAGGAGCCGACACACCGGCCGGGGCGGGATTCTGGTGGGGGAATATTATTCGACCTGGCCCCTCTGCGCCCGCTCGCCTGGCCCCTTCTCTCGCTGGCGTGGGGGGAGGAGAGGGCGGGGGGGGGGGGGCCGCTGAGGGACACACCGCTCGTAAGGTGAGGTCGACACTCTGCGATGGTCATTTGGAGAAATAATGCCACCCGGATAAAACGAATGAAATATAGACTTCGCTCGGTGTGTCCCCACTCGGCCCGGCCCCCCTTTTGCAGTTCTGCCAGACGCGCGCGCGCGCGCGCCCCGGCCACAGAGCCGCCCGCAGCACCGGCCCTACGCCCCCAAAGGCGAGAGGCCGGCCGCACGCCTGAGGCGCATTCCCCGTGCCACGGTGTCGTTCAGGGCTGGGGACTCTGGGAGGGGAGGACGAGGGGAGGGGGGGGAAGCGCGAGGGCGGGGCGCGGGGAGGGAAGAGGAATGTCCGCTCCTTGCCCGCGGCAGCCGTTTGTTTGATCCGGCCAGCTCTCGGGGCACGGCGGGCGAAGCGAGCGGATCTCAACGCGCGACCCAGCCCCTACGCGCCCCACACTCGTGTCCGGTGCATTCCCTCGCCGACGGGAATGGCAGGCATGAATATCCGGCCGAAGACCCCCAAAGCCGCCCTGAGACCCCCCCCCCCCTCCCTCGCCGGCCCGCGCTTCCGGGCCAGCCCGCCGCATGCCCCTGCCGCCGATGTCGACAGAGAGCACGGGCCGCGCCATGCACGCACATGCCCCCCCCCCCCCCCCCCGCCCCCCGGGCGTTTTCGAGTCAGTGGGGCATGACCGCCGGGGGTCCCCTCTCGGGGGTGGCCACGTCGAGGAGTGATGTGCCCTTCTCGCGCCCCCGGCGGAGCCCCCCTCGAGCCCGGGGTGACGGGCCGCCGCCAGCCCTTGTGTCCACTTGACTCCCCGGCCAGCCCCCTCGGCATGGGGCCCCAGGCTGCCGCGTCCACCCACTTGGGTGAAAATGCAGATCAGCATGCGTGGGTGCGTGCGTGGGTGCGTGCATGCAGGGTGTATGCGTACGCCCGACGGGCGTGCCAAATTGGGTGTTAGCCAGCTCGCCGGGCTTCCGGCCCCGGGGGGGGGGGGGGGGCGGGGGGCCGGGGAGGAACCCAAGCGAGGAATGTCCTGAGGTGTATATTGCCCGGGCGCGAGTTCATACCTGCCTCGCGCCCCCGTCTCCGCACCTTCCCCCCCCCCCGGCCCCGGGAGAAGGTGCGGGGCGGTGTGACCGTCGAGTGGGTGCCCCTCTCGCTGCCCGAGCGAGAGGAGGGCCCCCCGAGACAGGCCTTCGCCCTTCTTCCTCGAAGCACGCCAGCATCAGAAGGGGACTCCTGGCGGACGTCATCTGGCGGCCCCCCCCCCCCCCCCCCCCCCCCGCCCCCCCCCCCGGCGGCGCCCCTCTCTTCATGCGGAGGGCGCGAAGGCACGCCCGCCGCAGGGCGGGGCCGTCCTGGCCAAGCAAAGTAAGCCCGCTCTCCCCCTTCGGGTGTGTTCCGCCCCCCGCTCCCAGGGGCCGGAGGGGGGTGGCGCGGGCGGGGTAAGGTTCCCCTTGAGGAGCGGCAGCAGGACCGCAGCAGGTGCGGCCTGCGTATTCCCGTGGTGTCGACACAACGCCCCGGCCTCCGTGCCCCCCTTCCTACCTAAGGCGCCTCCGGCCAAACGAAATGCGTAGGGCCCATCTCCTCCGGCGAGGTCTCCGGGGTGCATGTTATTCTCCAAGCGCGTCAGAACTCATTTGATGACCCGGGGGGCGTGGGTGGGGAGAGCCCGGCGCGCGCGGTGCGGCGCACTTACCCTAGAGGTGACATTCCTGAGGAATTTTCCTGAATGCCTCCCCCGGCCCAAGGGGCTGGCCCTGTGGTGTGCGTGTGTGTGTGTGTGTGTGCGTGCGCATTCGTGCGGGTGACACCCTCGATTCTGCTCTTCCAGCATATCTTCTTCCTGACCGGGGGATTCTGGCCGTCATCCGCGCGCCTGCCCCCGGTCGTGATGGCGCCCCATCGTCCCTTCCCTCGTCCCCCCGCCCCCCCTCTCCCCGCCGCCCGGGCCCGGGGTCCGACGGCCGCGTTTCCTGCTGCGACCCTTGCGCACTGACCAGCGTTCCCAGAGGCATAACTATTACCCTATTCTGGGATGTGTTTCGCCGAGAGCAAGGCTCGGGCTCGTACCTCGTTCGCACGGAATGCGCCGTATCCCTGCACCCCCCCCCCCGCCCACCTTGTCCAGCCCTCAGCCCTCACATTTCAGCCCCCCCCACTTCCCCTGTCCCCTGGTCGCCGGCTGGGAGAGGGAGAGACATCACGAGTATGCGGCGAGGCAGGCAGCCGGGCCGGGCCCGGCTCAAGGAACATTCCTCCAGGGGAGGGTGGCGCGGTCAACCGCCGTCTTGCCGCCCTCCCCGCTGGCCCCTGCTCCAGCCCGGTGTGGGGCCCCGGCCTGCCCCGCCGCCGCGCACACACAGAAGCTCCCCACACCCGCCTTCGGAGGCCGGGGATCCCTCGCAGCCGTTGCCGGCGCCAGACAGCCGGGCCGCGCTTTGCCCTGAGGACCGCCAAAATGGCACCTCATGTCCAGATTCCACGCGGGTTAACCGCCACTGCCGGCAAATGCCAGCACCCGGCGGCGGTCATCTCGATAACCGGAGTATCGGTCCCCCCCCCCCCCTCCCCGGCTCGGGCCTGGAGTTCGGCGCCCAATTGGCAATGCGGATGCCGGCGTGCTTCGCCGGCCACCCCCCGAATGACTGCTCGCATTCCCGGCTCCCACGGAACGAGCCGTTCCCCCTCCCTCCTCGACTGGGCCTCGAATTTCTGCCTTGCTCACCGCCGCGCCCGATCCGCCGCGAGGCGCCGGCGGCCCTTCCCCGTACGACCTCCGCCCAGGCGTTGTGGCTCCTCCGCCTCCGGGGGGTGCGTGGGGCTCCCGCCCGCCCGCGTAGGGCTGGCCATCTACGGCTCCCCCCCCCTCCTCCCGGCGCGAGGGGGGGGGCGAGGGGCAGAGCCCCCTTGTTCCGGGTCTGTGTGGACATTCCTCTGTTCGTCACTTTCGCCCTTGCACCCCGCCAGGCGGGTGGCCCACCTCATCCCCGCTCCGGCCTTCACCTTGCGCCTCCTTCCGGAAGGGGCGCTGGTCGTCCCCCGGCCGAAGGCGATCAGCCCGCAGCCCACCTAGCGGCTGTCCCTTTGCAGCCAGCAGCCACAGGTCGGACCCACGACCGCGCGTCTGTCCCTCTGCCGCACTCGCCTGCCACCCCGGCCAATGGCACGCTGTTTCTCCAACGGACAGCGGGCACCCCGATCGCCCTTCGGCCGGCAATCACCCCACCAAGGGCGGCGCCCTCGCCGTCGCACGCTGCTGACCCATGCATTCCCGCAAACGGCCACATGATACTCCGGCAGCAATTACGCCGCAATGACCAAAATCATGCCTCTCATCGAAATACACATTTTACGCGGCCCCCTCATGCGAGACTGCTTTCCCAGACTTTCAACGGCCGCGCAATGGGGCGGGCACGAGCGCGCCGCACGCACCACGAAGCAAAGGCACTTCACACATTGTTAGCCCCCCGGCGCGGTTGCCGGACCTTTTGGCGCTGGCATTTGCCCGCACGGGCGCCCCCCTCTTTTTCCCTATCCAAGGTCGCACTCGGCCACCGAGCTCTCCCGGCTCCGGCCCTGCCCCGCCTCGGAGGCACAGGGCTGCATCCACAAGGGGCATTGGCGAGGGAGATGGACGCCGCCAAGCCATGTGTACTCCGCAGGCGAACTGCACCGCACCTCTGGCCGTTGCTGGTTCCTGCCCTCTCCCCGGTCACCAGTCGGGCCACACGCCCCCAAGCCTACGCTGGTCCACGCCAAGGGTCTCTCTCTCTCTCTCTCTCTCTCTCTCTCTCTCTCTCCCTCGCTCCCTCGCCCCCTCTCTAGAGCCGTGGTGGCCAAGCCTGCTCAGGCCATCGAGTTGCACTGTCTGCGTGGAACTCTCCGGCCAGTCTGGCTGATTGTTTTTCCCGCACGCCAATGCGCTAATATTAATCCGCCAACTTATTTCCTCGTACAATGACCCCCCGGCAGCTGCTTCGGGTGCGCGCCAAAGGGCGCGCACTCGTCGCATTGTCCTCTCCTCCCTCCTGGCTCACCTCCGGCGGGCAATCAGCTCTCCCACCTACCCGCCAGGGGCCTCCCCTGGGCTCCATTCCTGGCGGCTTCCCTCCCCGGCGACGAGCCTGCCTTTTCGGTCAATTCACAGACCCAAGCCCCTGGCGTTGGGAGTAGAGCCTCCCTCTGGCGGTGACCCCGGGGGGGGGGGGGGGGGGGGGGGGGGGGGGGGGCGAGGCGCGGCCGCAAATAGGCGGTTATTATCGTTCTTTCCAGCTCGGCAGTTTGACTCGCCCTGGCTGGGCTCCCGCGACCAGGGCGGTGGTGTGGCACCCGGAGTGTGGCGTGTTCTTGTCCGGTTCCATCCCCCCCCCC